TTGACTAACGACCGAAGGTAGGTAACGGTAAATGACTTTATCCTTTAGTGAGGCTAATAAGCAAATGCAGAAAAAATTATTGTTTGTCATGAAATCTGTTCTGCTCTATAATAATAATGAATGCCTGCTCACAACGCGTTATTATTATTTCCGCTTACAGAGACTTGGAGATGAACACAACAGTCGCGTGGTGCGAAATCACTCTGATCGTCTAAGGACATTTATTCGGGAACCCATTTCTTGAAAGTTGCTAAGGATGTTTATGCCAAGAGCTACAATCTTTAGATTCGAATATAAAATGAAATAATTGAGACTAAGAACACTTTTGAAATATCGAAACGTCGGTATTGATAATTATTTTTACTAGTCTTTGGCTTACAAATGCAGCTAAAAATGTCACGTTTTAAAAGTTGATAGTTTATTTATAACGGTAAGATAATTGGCAGTTGTACCAGCTACTATTCGATTGGTCAATGTAAGAAATTAATAACACACTGTGTTACTAGTTGGAAAGTTACAATCTAATCCTTCCTGCAATCTGTCAATGTCGTTACCCCAACACAAATTATATAACGTTGTCTAGCTTTTCAATTCTTTCCAGCCCAGAAAGATTTTTTTTCAGGAGGGGGGGGGGGGAACCTGTTTCGTTTATTTCAACCAATTGAACCTACATCATGTAGATCTATCTTTTCTTGCTGGTTTCAATATTTAGAATTCGAATTTCGACAAAGTGTTTTTCCAGAAAATGCAAAGTAAAGTACAGATTACGATTCTGCAATTTCTTAGAAATTCAAGATTTTGGGCTTAGAACATCTGAACAGCTGGCCGGCGATAATTACCAAGAGCTTCTGTGCTGCTGAGGCCAACGTGTGTCTAAATAAGTCAATGACTGGGCATAAGGTATGATTTTAACTTATGACTAATAATAAACGCCCTGCCTTATCGCCAGTAAGTGATATTACAATCCGGACGACGATTCTTCATGGAAAAACGTACCTATTGACAATCTCTTTGTGCTAACTGCAGCGTCCTTTATCTTGAACTGCAAGGCAGCCGTCTATCTCCTGATCGTGACGTCTTCTTCAGACAAGAGAGTCCGGGAACACACTCAGCAACACAGCTCTTGATAGCGTGTACTCAGAGCGAAGCCGAGAGGAGAAATCATTGTTAATCTTGCTTTTAAACCCTTCACCTCTGGGTCCGTGTGTATGATAACAATAGCCTGTGACTTCTGCTGTTTGTTTGTATGCCTGTGGCGCCGTCCATATCTTCAAAATAATAAGTAGGTTCCCGGATACAAATACGCAAATTAGGAAGCACTCCTTGAGAAGAACAATGTAGCTAATGCAAGACTAGGCCTAAGGCGTTTTGTTTTGGGTTTTTTAAATAATTAAAACACCTCGCGAATTGAGCTAAGCGTCGCAATTCTCTTCGGACGAAGGAAAAAGTAGTCCCTCTTTGGTGGTTTAGCACGGTGGTCTGTTATCAATAATTTGGGAGTGAACAGTGGACAGTCCTTGTCAACCACACGAGTTTCTGTAACTTCCTGGTGGCCTGTTATTAAAACTTTAAAAAGTGGTTTCACTTCCTTGCTTTGGATGGATTGAAACAGAGCTCCAAATCCAGGTATCATCATCATCATCATCATCATCATCATCATCATCATCATCATCATCATCATCATCATTGTCAATGTATTTTTATTGACAGTGGTAATACAAAAACATATGCCACCATTTTCTTCTGTAGTAGTAGTAGTAGTAGTAGTAGTAGTAGTAGTAGTAGTAGTAGTAGTAGTAGTAGTAGTAGTAGTAGTAGTAGTAGTAGTATATCATCATCATCATCATCATGTTGCAATATAAGTATAAGTATGACTGCTATTTTTATCATGTTATTTTTACGTCATTATCGTTGATACTGTTACTCTTACTTTTTTATAAGTATTATTGTTGATATTATTCATGTATTACTGTTATTATCATAACTATTCTTATTTTGTGTTCTTACTATCAAATGTAGTATTCTTTATTGATGTTGCTGTTCATATTATAATCATTGTTAGAATGTTGCTTTCATTTTTAATGTGCCCAGTGTTAATATTATTATTACTACTATAATCATTATGATTTTTTCTGTTGTTTTTAAAATAGAAATTGTATTCTTATCATTATTATTATTATCATTCTTA